CCCCCCCCCCCCCCTTTCCCTTTTTTCTTCTTTTCCCCTTTCACGGGGCGCAAGGCGGAAAGGCAAAACCAGCGGCGGAGCGCGAGGCCGAACCAGAGGAGGAGGGGGGGCCACACGTGCGCCCCCTTGAGCGGAGGAGGGGTGGAGGAGCGGGTAAGAGCAGGTGACGCGCACGGAGGGGAGGACGACAAGGGTTCACAGCGCGAGACACCCTCCCGCCACGGCGCGGGAGTGGGGGGGGAACGCCGCGAAGGGGCGGCCCGCGCCTGACTGACGGGGGTGTTGGGCGGCGGGGGGAGGGTGAGGAGCGCGGGCGGAGGACTGAGCGCGCATCTGGTGGGCGGGGTCGGGGATACCTGATGGGGATGGGAAGACCCTGGGAGGGCGGGTTTGAGGAACAGGCTGAGGGGGCGGAGTTGGAAATGGGAGGGGTTAAGGGAAGGTGTAATATTGGGGGGAGGAATTAGCCGAAATGGGGTCCAGGGAGGAGGAGGTGCAGAGAAGAGAAAGGGCCCTCGGGGGATGGCGGGGTAGGAGAGGGGGGTCCTGGGTGAGGAGAGAGAAAGGCGGCATCGCTTCCCTCACACACATATCCTTCACACGTCACAGAAGGTTGTGTTTCTTAGGTCTCCTGAACCAGGGAAGCTCGGGCGAGGTTGCTGTTGAACACCTTTCTAAGGATGCTAGTGGTGGGATTCAAATAATTTTAACCGGTTCTGTGCCCTAATGACTGGGTGGTCATGTGACTGGGTGGGCGTGGGCAGCTTCAATGGTCTCACCCCTAGGAAATCTCTCCTTCGTCCAACTCACAATAAAATAGCACTGTTCCAATATTTAGAATATAATATAACAGAGTTGGAAGGGACCTTGGAGGTCTTCTAGTCCAATCCCCTGCTTAGGCAGGAAACCCTACACCACTTCAGACAAATGGTTATCCAGTCTCTTCTTTAAAAACTTCCAGTGTTGGAGCATTTACAACTCCTGGAGGCAAGTTGTTATTTTGTAGGAAATTTCCTACAAAAATGAGGGAGTCAATCTATTTTCCAAAGCACCAAAAGGCACAAGAAACTATGGAAACTAACCAGAGAAGCAACCTAGGACTAAGGAGAAATTTCCTAAGAGTGAGACCAATCGACCAATGGAATAGCTTGTCTTCAGAAGTTGTGGGTGCTCCATCACTACAGGCTTTCAAAAAGAGGGAAGTAGACCCCAAAAGGAGAGTGCCAGGAACCACTAAAATGCAGAAAACTTAAAACAGCCATTCCCCTTTTTAAAAAAAGTCCACCCCAAAGCAAAAACACCAGCTGAGAGGGAAACTAAGAGCAGGCACTCATGCTAATTGAAAGCCTGGGGTGCTGGCAAAAGCCATTAATCCTTCCAACTCTATTATTCTATGTTCTAAATTGAGTGCTTCACAGCAGAAGCAATGCAGCTGGCTGGACCACACATGCATTAAATTCAGGCCTGTATGATCAAGCTGCATCATTGTCCCCTCCTGTATCTCCCCCTCCCCAGGAAGAAACAAGAAGTAGCCAACACTGCAGCAGCTATAAAAGGTATTGGGGAACTTCAGGGAGTATCAGCTGATCACAGAAGTGTTACTTAGTATTCTTTATAATGAAAATGTTTGTAATCTTGTCCTTCCTGAAGGGAAGAGGTTAATCCCATCCCTAGATGGGTGATTGATGGGTTTCCCTGCCCTAATCCTGTCAGTTTATGTTGTTTATTGACTTGATTCAACATGTATGGCTGCATTCCAGCTGCAACTATTAAGTGGTTTTTGGCTGTCTGCCTGGAGCTATTAACTGAAGGGAGAGAGAGGGGAAAAGAAACCTCTCTTGCACTTTATTTTTAGCTGGTTCTCCTAACTGCACAAGCAGTTAGCAGATGGTTCTGGTGAACCGGTGAGAATTGGCTGAATCCCACCTGTGGATGGGACACTGTAGTGTAGACCAGGGGTCGCCAACCTTTTGGACCTCAGGGACCACCAAACTCATAATTTTAAATCCCGCAGACCAGAGACCCTGGGAAAATCCCCAAAAAAGTCTGCAGGAAAATTCCCCACCCCATTTTCCTACTGATAGATCATTTTTTATTTGGGATTGCAGGATACCATGTCCAGCTCTTTTCTCAGGGGGAGGGAGGGAGAGAGAGTAAGAGAGAGAGAGACAGACTTTTGGCTTCATGCAAGGAAAGCAGCAGAAGCAGCAGAAAGTCTTTCTTTCTCTCCCCCAAACTCTGCCAGAAATGAGTCATTGCCAGTGCAGCTTCTTGGAGCAGGATGCCATGCAGAGTCCCAAAGACTCATTTCTGGCAGAGTTTGGGGGAGAGAAAGAAAGACTTTTGCTGCTTTCCTTGCATGCATCCAAAAGCAGAAGAAGAAAAGCAGAAAGAAGTAGCCCGGTGGCCAGTCCAGGTGCGTGGGGCAAGTTCCCCCATCTGCCCTTTCCCCCCTCACTACCTTGTGTTGTTCACAATGCAAGCGACGCAAGCCTTGTGTTCCCACGGGCCATGTAGCGCAAGCCTTGTGTTCCCACGCACACAGCCTGAATTAATTGTTTTGGGGGGTGCTTTGTGGGTGACATTTCTCTGCGGACCACCAAAATTTTCTCACGGACCACCAGTGGTCCCCGGCCCACTGGTTGGCGACCACTGGTGTAGACGATTCTTCTGAGGAGGGTGACTGAAAAATGGGAGCTTTTAGTGTGAAAAGCTGTGAGGAGGTGTTTGGTCAGAGGAGGAGGGATGATTTTGAGGGGTTCTGTCAAGGGACCCTTTTTCAAAGTATGTCAGGTTGATCCATGCCTCCAATCAGGCCCCTGCCTCCAGGTACCCTCCTTCAGCCAGTCTTAACTCACCCCTCTTCATACAGTTTGTGCCAACTGTTAAACTGAGTGTCAGGTGAATTAGGGAAAAGAATCTAGTAGGTATTTAGAAGAGCTAGGATGAGGTAAGAGGTGTCTCTTGTGGCCTTGGGGAGCACAAGCAGTGATATGATAGCAATACGAATGGGAGAGCAATGTTGTATGGGGACACTGGAACTCAAAGATAAGCGTGAAGAACCTTGAGTTGTGGAGATATTGGGAGGTTAAGAAGAAATAGGTATCTTCCTTGTGGAGATGGGAAAATTAAGAGAATTGCTTGAGAAAGGCAGGAAATTGGAAACAACGCTTCTCTGTAAAATAAAGAAGCATCAAGAAATTAGAACTATTGTTAGCAAATCATAGCTTGAGGATGTGCTTTCTTAACTGTAAAGAAAATAGGGGTAAATACTTGAGGTAGTAGCATTCTAGGTATAGATTAAGGAACTGAAACAAGAGGGCAAATCTTTCTCAGTAGGCATTGTAGGCTTAGAGAATATATGTTTATGCTATTTATTATTCCCTTGGCAAAAGAACTGAACTGTGGGAATTTTCCCCACAGGAAATTTTATAACATAGCTTATTGTTTATGGGTTTAGTTTGTTCCATTTTGTTTGATTATAAATAATACCTATAATGTTCAGTTTTAATTATTTGAATAATTTGGTTAATTTTTTTGTGCACGTGTAAATTTCTTCATATGGAAGTGGCCATCCCCAAATTTCTAATTTGGGTCCTCATATCTAGATTTAATCTATCATCAGAATTTTGCATATAAAATCAGAATGCTATACTACTGCCTGAAAATATTTCAGAATTCAAGTTTGAATCCCTTATGAGAATATGTCATGTTGCTTGCTTTTTAAAACAGTTTTCTGGTTTCTTCCTAGTCTCTTAGATATTCTGTTTCAAATTGTGGATTGAACCAACTCTTACCTGGTTTTATTGAGAAGGAGAAAAAAATACTTGTACATTGAAATTTACCAGTAGTTTGACCACAGAAGAGATCATCTACAACAGGTTTAAGTTTATTCCTTTCTTTTACTCTGATATAATTTCTATGTATTCTGAGATATGTATGCCTGTCCTTATGCAATTAGCAGCTGCATACAGGAGTAGAATGTAAGTTACAAGGGTTTCCAAGATTGCATTGCTGCTTAAAATTCAATATTTTTTAAAAAATTCATCTGGCAGATTATGAATACATTGACACAAAAGTAAGATTTAGGGTCAAGTGTATAGCTGGGGATTTTTTTAAAAAAATTATTGATAATTTTATAATATTATGGTATATCCTGTTGTCCCCAATTCGGGTCTGAGCCTGGTGCCAAAGCCAATGATAGACGCCAGACACAAGGTGCAGGTTTTCTGATTGTATTTTATTGGAGTACTCCAAGGAAAAGGGCTCCTGGTCAAAATTCCAAGAGCCAAGAACAAAGGATTGAGTAAGTTTTATACATTTTCACTAAAGGAGAAGGTGGGACAAAGTGAGATAATAAGAAATATCATCTAATAAACATCTTAGTAATAATTCTACAATTTATTCTATTGGTCTCTAGCTGTCCCTATTCCCAAGTCTTGGCTAATGAATACCCTAGGAATTATCTAATACACATTTGATTTGCTGCAGGCCTAACTTTTAGCTGAGGTCTGCAAGTTGGCTAACTCATGTTACTTTTATCAGCTTTCCAATTAGCCAGGATTGTTACAAAATTTACATGTGCTTTATTACCTGTGGATAAGCATTCTTTGTTCTTGCCAGACAGACTCCACAATGACAGGCTTCCTGATTTACTTTGAAGTGTGTGCCATGACCTGGCTTTATTTTAGCAGGTGGTCCATCATAGTACGAGGTTTTTCCAAACAGATTTTGGTCTGGCATCTGTCTACATTACTTCAGTTCCAGGATGGTTTGATTCAGGGATTGATATCTGAATAGAGGAGATATCCCTTTTCTAAATACCTCCATAAGGCAATATTACATTTTTATTAAAGAATCATTATTTTTCTGACTTTCAATAACTATTTGGCATTAGCTTATTTTTCTTTGTTTCTTCATATAACAAAAGTCCCGTCTTACTTTGATCATACTTCAGTGTCAGATTGCACAGCATTTCTTTCTTCATAATCATTAGAAATAGAGGTTTGCTTTTCTTTTCAGAAAAAGATAAGTAAAAAAGTATGAATGTTCTTGTTTAAACACTTTTAAGCACATTTCTATGTGCTACATTTTGCAGATTCACTCTGCCTCTGAACAAGTAAGACTATAGAATCAGGAGTCCAGGCAGTTCTGTTCTAATTATATTGAATTACATTAGCCTTGTACTGTAGACTACAAGCTTTGATTAGTATAAATATGCCCACTGGTTCCTTGAAAAAGAAAATGACCCCAGCTTTTAGTTGTTTGTTCTAGTCAGAAGTATTGTCTATCTTATATTGAGACAATTATGGTAAACTGACCATAGAATGCTAGACAAAGAATATCAGAGTAGGACTTGACATTTAGTAGCACTATTCAGGGGAAGAGTGAGCAGGTACATTAACCAGGTCTTATAACTTAGGATATCATGTGAACACAGCAACTGGGACTCAGCTATTTTCAAAGTCAACTTTGCACATTCAGATACTTTGGCATAAGCCACTGAGCCTTCTGAATGCAGTAAGTAGCCCTGGGAATGCTAAACAGATCTTGAAATAGATGCAGGAGAAATTTTGTGAGCAGATTGTTTTATGGTGCTTAATATTAAAACTTCTGGTACCTTTATATACAGAAAGGTATCCTTAGATGGTGATTCTGAGTATGAAAGTTTCAGAGGTGGATAGCAGTAGAATCTCTCATTGAAATTACTTCTGCTGGAAATGAACATGTGATTTAATATATTCCTTTGATTCCATGTGCATCCTGCAGTGTAAATGAGTCAGAATGGATCAGGAAGGTGGGGGTGACTTCCAGAAAACCCCTAACTTCCAGTGGAGAAACTACAAGCTCATTGTTGATCCTATGCTTAAGGATGGCCCACACAAAATCTACCGCTATGACGGAGTGCATTTCAGCACTAATGTAAGTGGGTAGTATTTTTTTGGATTTGTTTTTATTTTTTTACTAAATTGTAAAGCATGTGAGTCATTCCTGCTGAGGATGGATGGTCTAATCATGTTTGGTAATATCTCTAGGTCCTCTTTTAATATCTTTTCCAAATTCTATGTATTGCTTCTCCTGTTTTCTTCATGCACTGTATTTTGCTGAGTGTTAACATTTTAGTTTGCTTTCCATCTCTTAGATGAGAGCAGTTCCAGTGCAGTGTGACACAAATTTTTGGATGAATCAGCTCTGTGCTGATCCTTGTCCAGCTTTTTCATGACTGCCACAGGCTCCCCATTCCATACTGTTCTTTTTCTGTGTGTGTGATTATGCATTTAGATTATGTAAATTAACTAACACAAGAACCTGAGTATTTTCCATAGTTTTTCAAAAGGGCCATTGCCAAAAATTCTGATAATTCCTTCTGTCATATTGAGGTTGGCTTTTAGGAATGTCATCTACATTCCACCACTTCCCAATTTTGATAATGTTTTGTACGATTTAGCATGCACTAGATTTCTGCTGTGAAACTTGGCTAGTGGATCTTGTGTGTTGTCTCTGATAAAGAGACCTGTGGTTTATTTGAACCTGTTGATGGTCTAGGAATCCAGAAAAGGTGGTGATTTTAGTGAGGGGGAAGGTAGGAGTTGACTGGGTTTAGGTAGTGTCTAGGCTTTTGCTTAAATCTCATAGTAGCCAGTGATTTTCTTAGCGTGCTCGAGCATTTAACTCCACTTAAATCAGTGGGAGTTTACCTTACTTTCTTTTTCTAACACATGTTGATCATAAATTTTCTGTATAGACTACAAAGGCAAAAATTCCAAGAATGTTTCTTGGAAAGTTAGTTTCTGTATATTTTAACATTACAAAAAGGGTATTATCATTAAGGCTTATGAAAGTGTGCTGGTATAATACTGAAGGAACAAGGTTCTTGGTAGTTTCCAAGCCTGTTTATTCATATTCTGTATTGTGTAACAGCAAATGGAGACGTTCAGGACAACCATATTTTCCTTTCTAATTCAAGCAAGAGACAGGCCCTGAGTTCCTTAAACAAGATTCCCTGTTAGTATTTAAAGTCCCAATCCTTAATAAGAGCTATCATAAAAGAGAAATGGCTTCCTTTGAAGATATTCTTAGAAATGGGAACAGGCCTTGAAGCACTGTGAAAATCACAGTCCTTGTTTCTTAGTTGCTAATCATACTTACATATTTTCTCTTTTACACACTAAGCCATCCATGATATCATTATTTGTTGATGTTTAACATTGTCTTCTTCAGCATGCTGTTCTTCTAATTTCCTGAAAAGGAAATATTTTCAAATCTCACTGAAATATAAAACATACTCCACTGTTGAGGTATGCAATATTTTTCATTCAAAATATTTGCATCATGAAATATTTAAATATCTGAATGCCAATGACATTTTACTACGAGTTTCCCAGTATTAAAACAAACAGTTCAGGTTGTGAAATAAAGACTAGAACAGTCTACTTTAGGTCAGTATGGTTTATTCTGAAATACATAGTCAGGGGTGGGATTCAAATTTTTTAACACCCGGTTATGTGGGTGTGACTTAATTTGTGGGTGTCGCTTGGTGGTCATGTGACAGGCTGGGCGTGCTTGGTGGTCATGTGACTGGGTGGGCATGGCCAGGTGGCCATGTGACTGGCAAACCAAATACAAGTGGTCCTTGCTTAATGGCCGGTTGCTTAGCAAGTGTTCTAATTTATGACTGGCCTCCCCAGAGCTACTTTACCTGTTTTTGGAGTTTTGACAGCCATGCGCGCGCACATACACACACACACACACTCACTCCCTTCTAACCCTGCTATTGTATGATTCTGTAAGGATCTCCTGCTGGAGCAGGGGGTTGGACTAGATAGAAGATGACCTCCAAGATCGCTTCCAGGCCAGCCCTAGATTGCTGTGCTGTTTCAGAGTCTTCTGAAGCCAGGGTTTATGTCCTTCCTTCCTCTCCTTTTTTCTCTCTCCCTCCCTCCATGTATCCATCCATCCATCCATCCATCCAACCTTACTCTCAGCCAGTCTTCTGAAAGCTCGCAAATTTGCACACAAACCCCCATACAACAGCAGAAAGCAGGGTTCAAGGTGTTTAATGTCAAACAACAAACTTCCCATCCGGCAAGAACGGCATACAATCCGGTCTAGGTTAGCACTGGAAGCTTCTGCCTTCCAATGCTATTTAAAGGTATAAACACACCCACCTAAACGCTCCTATCTCCTGTACTCGCCCCTAATTATCCCCTTAATTACCCTCTAGGTCACCATCCAGTTATACCTAATATGTCCATTGTTTCCTATCTGTGCAATCTATATTTCGTCTATGAACCCTACCTACTCGCGAGTAAATTATATACCCAGATTCCCCACCCCATCATCCTTTGCAGCACTACAGTCGATTCCAAAAGCCGCAAAAGGACAGGGGGTTTCCCGGATTCCCCCTCTCATCACCGTCGACCATCCCGCTCTGCCAATGATGCATCTGACGCAGCTAAACAATCCTGTAAGTATATAGTGTCAGGCTTCAGCAGCTCTTGCAAACGTGCTGATGGGCTCAGTTTATCAGCACTAACAGAGCTCAACAGGCTGCCCCCTCTACCAGAGATCCACCTAGAAAAAGAGAACGAACAGATGAAACATTATGCATTGTCTCCCCATCTTCCTTGGCAGGATACTTTCGGTTGAACTGTTGGCATAGTTGGGGGCACGCACCTCCGAATAGACAACCCATGACGCCTCCGACAGGGGATACCCTTTCCAACGAACAAAGTATTGCAAGGTTCCCCTATGTCTACGGGAATCAAGTATTTCACTAATCTCATATTGATCATCTTGTACAGGGCCTGGAGGATCAAATTGGGTGTCAGGATTCACCATGTTTGCTGGTTTAATGAGGCTAATATGGAAAACTGGGTGCACTCGTCTAAATTGTGATGGTAATTTCAATTGTATTGTGACAGGATTAATTATCTGAATCACTGGAAATGGACCAATATATTTAGGACCCAGTTTCTTAGATGGGAGCCCCAAATTTAGATATTTAGTGGAGAGGTATACAAGGTCTCCTATTTTGAACATTTTATGGTCAGTTCTTTTCTTATCAGCCTGTTTCTTATAAGCAACAAAAGCATCGCGCAATGCTTGGTGCACCTCCATCCATGTTTCCTTTATTCTTTCAGACCATATAGTTGTAGTCATTGGTTCCCGTCCTCCTTGCTCCCACTCAGGAATTGGTACGAATTCCATGCCATTTACTATGAAGAATGGGATTTGTCCAGTACTATAATGTATGGTGTTATATGCCACCTCCTCAAATGGTAACTATTCCGACCAATCTGTTTGCTGATCATAGCAACGGAGGTATTGTTCTATGGCTGCATTAGTACGTTCTGCAGCACCATTGGTGCTCGGATGATAAGCCATGCTTTAACCCCCATGAAGAACCTATTAAGCATATGAACTCCCGCCAAAACCGAACAGTAAACTGCACTCCTCGATCTGAGATGATCCTTCTCGGTACTCCATGTAGTCTGTAGATATTCTTAATGAACATGGTAGCTAATTTTCGAGCAGAGGGTAGATCGCCACATGGGATAAAGTGCACCTACGTCTAAAATAAATCTATGACCGTCCAGATCACTGTATATCCATGGCTATTAGGTAAGTCTACTATAAAGTCCATGGCAATGTCCTGCCATGGTTTAGTGGGATTTGATACTGTTTGTAATCATCCCAGAGGCTCTCCAGGTCGGCACTTAGTGGTAGCACAAACCGTACGTGTCTTTATGTAATGTTCAATATCTGATCTCATTGAAGGACACCAAAATTGCCTTTTGGCAAGATGTAATGTTTTTAAGAATCCGTAATGTCCAGCCTGCCTAACATCATGGCAACGGTGTAATACTTTGGTCCTCAAAATTTCCGGTATATATAGTTTAGTTCCTCTCCGTGCAATTCCACTGCTGATATCACATCGCGTTTGGTTCTTTGCTAACCACGGGTCTCCCTTTATAGTGTTCGGTAAATCTTGAGCCAATAATTGCACTCGTAATGACTGTAGAGTCTCCCTCCCTTGTATAATCAGTTGCACTATTACCTCTTGTCTGCTGTCATATTATGGTAACCTTGACAGAGCGTTGGCTAAAAAATTCTTTTCCGCTGGTACGTACTTTAAGATGAAGTCAAACCTACGAAAATATACGGCCCACCGGACCTGCTTAGGTGATAATCTTTGAGGTGATTGGAGTGCCTCCAGGTTCTTATGCTCCCTCAAGGAAATGCCTCCATGTCAACAAAGTCCATCGTACCGCGAAGGCCTCCTCCCAAACAGCCCAATTCCTCTCAGCTGGACTTAATTTCCTTGATGTATAAGCACATGGTTGCAAGCTACCGTTTGAATTCTTTTGTAAAACAACAGCTCTCACTGCCGTGTCACTGGCGTCTGCCTGAATTAAAAATGGCAATTCCGTATCTGGATGCTTCAATACAGGCTTTTGAGCAAACATCTGCTTAAGGGAATCAAACGCCCATTGACATGTATCTGACCAGGTAATGGATTGCCCTAGACAGGGTTTTGTGGTCTGTCCTGATTTTGTTTTTAACAAATCAGTTAACGGCCGGGCAAGAGTAGCAAACGAAGGTATAAACTGTCTGTAAAAGTTAGTAAACCCCAGAAAGCTTTGTAGTTGTTTTCTTGTATTAGGAGCTTGCCAGTCCAAAACAGCTTGTACCTTGCTGGGGTCCATTTCAATTATTTCATTTGATATACAATACCCAAGATAATCTAATTGAGTACGGTGAAATTCGCACTTTCATAGTTTGATGTACAGCTGTACTGCCAGTAATTTCTTAAGCATTTGTCTCACCAGCTGTACATGATGTTCAAATGTATCTGTATACATCAATATATCACAAGGTATACCAATACATCTCTGTACAAATGTTCATGCAACACCTCA